GTATGTATTACATAATTCAAATATTAACAAATGCATACTTATCAATAGAAATTCATATGTAAAATTTTATAAATTTGAAACAAAAATGTTAAATATAAACTTGTATTTTAATTCAAATAAACAAAAATGGCAAAATTCTTTGAGAGATGATACACGTACAGGGTGAGGTTCATAGAACCCCACCAGATCAAATACAATAGGTGGAGTGGGTGGAATTTTTTTGACAATATTTTTATTACATGGAGTCCACCCCATATATCTGATTTGGAAGGGTTCTATGAATCACTTTTCTGTACATATAGTATAAATCAAATTATTTTCCCTTTTCGATAGTAAACAAGGCAGGGATGGGGAGGGGAACCTAGTTCCCATCCTCGAAATCTCAAAACTCGTCCCAAATCTTTTTTTTTTTTTATTGTTATATTATATTTTATATTTTTCAACAAATAAATTATTAAATAAATGAGGTGATAAATGGAGAATTTTTTATTATCGTCTCATCTTTGTCCCAACCCAACTCCCTAAAATCTCCGATGGGACGGGTATGGTAATGGAAGCATCGAACCTGCTCACTCCACCCCTTTCTCATCCTCCAAACTCTATTATTATATTAAAAATATATTTTTAGACAAATATTTTACGTATAAAAATAAGTAAATTTAGATGATTAAAATAAACTATGTAGAACAAGACATGTCAATTTATATTCTTATAATTTATATTATGAATATTAATTATTGCAGAGAATTTCATCATTTTCTTTACAAAAGTATTTTAGATGCATCAACCTCATTTTAGATAATTAACTGCTTAAAAAATGGTCATTGGTGTATGTGATTCTCATAAAGTCAAAAGAGTAATACTATGTCGCCCTACTGGGATTGCAGGCCCAATTTAGGTAATATTAGATAATAAGTTAAATGAAAGGTGAAATTAAATGAGTTATTTAATTCTACTTATCAATTAATGTCACATTAACGTTACCTAAACTGTAACTCCAGTAAGATCAAATAACATTACTCAAACTAAAAATATGAGAAGTCACTATGATTTTTCAAAAGTGAGGAAATGTTTCAGATATTATTATGAGGCTCTTAAAGTGGCTCGATAATATCTCAAATTTTTGTAATTTTGCTTTGGGTATTGATGCAAATTCATATAATTGTAGATCTTTATCCACGGAGTTCCCTACCATTGTGTTACGTCCAGTGAGCATTTCAACAACTAATGAATATCATTACTAAACATTGAAGAATAATGTGGATTTTATGGTTGCTTTATAATGTTCATTTAATAGAAAGGGTTTTGGAGGAAATGTTAGTATGCAAGATCGTGAAAGAGACTATTGATGATGAACAGTGACGGGCGGACGAAGGAAGAGAAGTGGTAGTTTTTTCGTGATATTGAATTTTCAAAAAATTACTTTGCAACATGGATTACATAAGTAACCAAATTTAATAGTGTATCTTATAATTTCAAAAAATGACATACACAGCAACATGATCGATGTTAAAACTTGAAATTTTATCTTAAAAAGTTAACCTTATTAAGAGGAGTAATTCAATCACTTATAGTCCAATCGATATGAAATTTTATCCGTTAACAATTGACACCTGATTAAAACAGTTTGTAATTTACGACCATTGTATTATTAATTACATAGTTCTTAAATTTAATCGTAAAAAAATTATACACACTTTAATTTACCATATTTTGCTTTAAAAACCCATCAATTTTCTAATTTTGAAATATATTAATGAGAATCAATATCTTTTTTAATTTACCCCCCTTTTCCCCCTATATAAACTGGATTTGGGCCATCAAGTTTGGATTGCCCAAAATCACGAAAGTGCATCAATTTATACATAGGTTCGAGCTTGGGTCGACCCAAGTAATTTTTATTTGGAAATATTTCATATCTAAGAAATTGATTATGATCCATTTCAAAAAAATTAAGAAACATGGTTTAAAATTTCAAAAATCAGATATTAGTTAAATTTTATTTATGGAATAATTGATTAAAAATATATTTTATTAATTAAATATATTAAGATCACAATTCTATACAATTTGATAATAAATTATCGAATTTATTGATCACAAATAAAAATTTTTACAGGTGACAAATTTATTTCTCTATCACAAAATCAAAAAATTTATAGGTGACAATTTATTTATCGATTACAAATCACAAATTTTAAAAGTCACAAATTATTTAACGGTCACAAATTATCAAATTAATTAGTCACAGGTTATTTCTTCATCACAACTTAATAAATTGTTAGTTACAACCACATTTTTTAGGTTGATCACAAACCAACCAAATAATTGACCACAAACAACCCCACCACGACCATCCCATCCCCACCCATAACCACGACCATGACTGTGACAGCCACGATCTCCACGACCACTATCAACACACACTACAGAAACCACAACACGAACCATAACCACCACAGCACCACAAACTACAACGACCAACCAACAACACCGCAACCACCAACCACACCACATCACATCGCATTGCAACCACCAACCATAGCGCATCGAAACTGCAAATCACCACCACAACACCAAACCATTTGAACCCATCGTCATCTGAACTAGCCAAAACTAATCAAAGCCGCTGCTACTACGTCGTGCTGCTGAAGATGACACTATCAGTCTCAAAGCTTCGAACACGGGGATGATGTCAAACCAAACTAGAAGAATTTTGTGGGTTATCAAATGATACATGGTGTGATACAGTTGTCGAACTCAAATCGTGCTACGATAGAAGCCTCTCAGATCATGTTGCAATTAACGCCTTCGTATCAATACCATTCTTAGATCAACAGGTGATGCATTGTGGTGGGCATGGTGGCGGTGCAGCGACTGTGGGCAGTAGTGTTGACATTTGGTTGACTTCATTCTTAATGTTTTGATTATCACAAATAAATTACGTTTATATCTAACAAATTGATTTCAAGTGTTGATAATGATTATTGCAAAATCAAGATCAAGAGACATGCACAATGACAAATGATTTTGACGATTGACGGACATAAAGATGGAAATCAAGCATTGACGTGAAAAATCACTTTGAAGAAAAGATTGATCGCTAACCATGAAGACATTAGATATAGACGATGTAAATTTGTATGTAAAGGTAAAACACCTCAATTCTTAGTATCGACTATAGCTCATAAGAATTTTTATGCACGAGAACAAAATCATGTCACAAAAGAATATTTGCATAAAAATTAACTTTGAAAAAGATAAGTATTTCGATTTCATAATCAAATATTTACAAATAAAGTTATCTTTACAAAATAAGTGAGAAAATCCCTCAAAAACTTACATAGATAAAATCATCACGAAGGAAAACTGTCCGGGGGCATTTTTGCCCAACCGAATGTCCGGATGACCCAATAGTCACTTTTTTTACAGTTTTGACTCTGACTCAAACGACTAATTTTTACCTCGTCCGATTGAGTCCAGACGTCATTATTCCTCGTTCGGATGGACAGAAGTTTTGCCCGTTTGAGTGTTATAAATACCTCATCTCTTCCTCATTTGCAATAACTTTCTTTGAGCATTTAAGTGACGCTTTTATTGATCTTAACCACTCTATTTTTCAATCTTTAGAAGATCAAAATATTTACATCTTGAAAAATTTTTTGAGTGATCAAAGTTATTACAAATCATTCATATCATTAAAAGTTTTTCAAAGTAAAACTTGAGCTATACTCATTGCAATCTATTGAAGTGTTAAGCCTATTTCTCTCTTAATACTTAATTGTGATCATTTCATTTATTAAGAGAGAAGTTTTTACTTGTAATATTTCCTTCTCTTATTTTCGATTGTGGGTCGTGTTGAGGTCCCGAAAAATTTAACGTTGTAAAAAGATCGGTGATCCTTGGTTATAAGTCATCGAAAGCTTTGTAGAAGGTTAGATTGCACCATAAGTCAATCAAATTTAGTGCAAAGGTCTTGCTCGTGATGGAGAGCTTGGTAAGGAGGGACGTAGATCATTGCGTTGGATCGAACCTCCAATCAAATTGTTTGCATTTTCTATCCATTTTACTTATTGTTTTTACATTGCAATTATTACATTGTTTTACTTGAGTTCTTAGTTGTGCGAACTTACTTAATCATTATATTTGTTAGCACATTAATTTTAAACTTGAAATTAATCTTCGAATTAATCAATATTGGGTTTTTAATTAGTATCAGAGAACGGAAAACACTTTTAAAAGATTGTACAATCTTATGTAATGGCTAACCAAGTTTTTCAAAATGTTGAGGGGCACTCCACAAATCGACCTCCTTTCTTTAATGGCACACATTACAACTATTGGAAGACTCGGATGATGATACATGTGCAATCTACTGATTATAATATTTGGGAAGTTATAGAATACAGTCCAAATGTTCCCACTAAGACTATTAAAGTATTATTTCTAAATCTAGGGAAGAATATGGTGATTAAGATAAGAGAAAACTATCTTTAAATGCCAACGCTAAGAATTTACTTTATTGTGCACTTGATAAAAATGAATTTTATCAAATAAGCACATGTGAATCGGCATCAGGGGCGAATCCAGGGTCTTAGTTCAGCTAGGACGGATCGCGAACGTTGAAGGTTAACTGTCAACAGTCAGCATCCGTGATAGGAGAATCGGTTATTACTAATTAATTAAATAGTATTCAAAAAATCATACGGACTAGAACTAGATGCACCACTAGAACTGGAACTATGTACAAACTTTCATTTCGAATGAAAAAATAGTTCCATAATCTGCAAAATTGCCTTAATTTATTTTTCAATTAAACAGGCAATATATATATAACAAAATGTCAATATTCAATTTATAATTAAAGTTAATTAACAAGTATTATTAATTTATTATATTAACAAAGTTCAAATTATTTATAATCTTCCAAATCTAATGAACTAGCAACAACCTAACGCGAACTAGAACTAGAAGTTAGGGATTTCATCTTGAATTATTTATCACAAATCATAGTCATAACTCATAAACCATAAAACACAAATCATAACTAGTAAAACACAAGTCATAGATTCATAGCTCAAAAATAAAAGATAAATCAAAAAATGTTTTTACATTGCAATTATTACATTGTTTTACTTGAGTTCTTAATTGTGAGAACTTACATAATCATTACATTTGTTAGCACATTAATTTTAAACTTGAAATTAATTTTCGAAAAAGTTATAAAAACCAATTCACCCCCTCTTGGTTAGTCAGTCTTACGCTTTCAAGTAGGGTATAGCAACGTAGTGGCTGTGGAGTTTTTAGAGAGGGAGGGTAGAGAGAGATGGGAGAGGAAGAGATAGTGAAGGGAGCGCAGCTATATATATATATATATATATATATATATATATATATATATATATATAT